GGGGGGGGAATGAATAAATAGTCCACTTTGGATGAAGGCATGAGTGGAAGCTTGTTGCAGAATGTTGAGCAAATGGTGTCTCTGAGTGGCATCTATATGACACACAACGCATGTTTTGTGAGACCCAGATGTTTCAGGTATGTTTAAATTGATGGACTTTGGGCTTCATCATCGTCGTCTAGCTGAGGTGTCTCATTCTGTTCTTCTGGAAGACATCTGTACACTCGTGCTGTACATGTCCCGCATATCATGTCACTGCTTGTCACATCTCTACCAACATATCTTTCAATGTATCTTTTGAAGGCCACGCCAGGCCGGATGCGTCTTCTGGAGTTTGGCATGCAACGTTTAAAACACAAGCAGCATGCGACGTCTTTCGGCATCTGCAAACAAATGAATGATTTATTTTCATTAGGAAAAGTCTGTGCACATGAAATGTTTGCTATATATAGTTGGAACTTGTTACCTCAAAATGTGGTTGTGGACATTTATCATTTTTGTAACAAGAGTACCGCAGGGAGGAACAAAATACGCCCGTCGAATGCCATATAGTGTTATATACTTTCTTACATTGAAATAAGATCTGCATCATTCAAAGAGTGGTTAGTTAGCTGATATGCTATAAAAAATGTAGGAGAAAATCTTCGGACAAAAAATCAAATACTGAAATGAACAAAAGGCAATAACTTTTGCAAAAATCGTCGAATCAAAATTCTTTTAAGGGAGACACAACTTTATATATCATGATTATAAAGTATACCAAGTTTCAAAGAGATCCGTTGAAAAATGTAGGAGGACATTGCCGGACAAAAAACAAATACTGAAATGAACAAAGGGTAATTACTTTTGGAAAAATTGTTGAATCAAAATTCTTTTATGGGAAACACAACTTCATATCATGATTATAATGTATACCAAGTTTCAAAGAGATCGGTTGAAAAATGACGGACGGACGGACAGACAACCCCATACCATTAATACTACCGTCAATTTTGACAGGCGTATAAAAATGACCATGAACATTGCAAACAAAAGCAATGCTTATATTTTATCAGAGTTTTATGTGACCTTTTGTTTTGGCATTAGAATTTGGGAAAAAAACAATATCCTGCGTGATTGCGAAAAGATACCCCATAACTACCGGTATTTTATGACATTAACACAACAAACATGTCATCAAAACTACGAGGTAATGACAGACAGGAGAGATAAACGGGAAACCAAATTAACACAACAAACATGTCATCAAAACTACGAGTTAAGTAACAGACAGGAGAGATAAACGGGAAACCAAATTAACACAACAAACATGTCAACAAAACTACGAGGTAAGTAACAGACAGGGGAGATAAACGCGATACCAAATTAACACAACAAACATGACATCAAAACTACGAGGTAAGTAACAGACAGGAGAGATAAACGCGATACCAAATTAACACAACAAACATGACATCAAAACTACGAGGTAAGTAACAGACAGGAGAGATAAACGCGATACCAAATTAACACGACGAACATGTCATCAAAACTACGAGGTAAGTAACAGACAGGAGAGATAAACGCGATACCAAATTAACACAACAAACATGACATCAAAACTACGAGGTAAGTAACAGACAGGAGAGATAAACGCGATACCAAATTAACACAACAAACATGTCATCAAAACTACGAGGTAAGCAACAGACAGGAGAGATAAACGCGATACCAAATTAACACGACGAACATGTCATCAAAACTACGAGGTAAGTAACAGACAGAAGAGATAAACGGGAAACCAAATTAACACAACAACCATGTCATCAAAACTACGAGGTAAGTAACAGACAGGAGAGATAAACGCGATACCAAATTAACA